ATGTGTATACATGTTTATATGTATATATATATATATATATTGGGCACTCGATTTTGAAATCTTTCCCGCTCCGAAGGTTTTCAAGGATTTCGGCATGCGCGCGCGACGACGCGCGAGTGTGCGTTCCGTCCCTTTCTTTGTCGAAGGATTTGTAGTAACTCGTGATTTTTGATACGCAAGTGTGGGGGGGGCGATGCCGGCCTGGCTGGGGTAGTATGAATTCAACGTTAGGATGGACATTTGGTTGGAATCCTGGTGTGGTTATGCATCGGTTCCCGGGGGGTCTCTAAAGCTAGGGTGGTGGCGGTGGTAGGACATGTTTCTTTTGTAGAGAGGAGAATTCGGTTATCGAGCTTGAAGTTGCCAACTGCATTGCTCGCGCAATCATCCCGCCCACCCGCCCGCAAGTTGGTTTGCCAAACGCGCGCGGGGGCGATTGCGATGAGTGCTGTTTGTTGGCTGGTGCATCTCTACGGCCTCGCTGGCCCGCGCGCGCTCGCGCGCCCAGCGGCCAGCTAGTTGGTTTGGCACGACCCGCGCGAACGTGGTGGCGCTGGCCGCTTGGCACATCCCAGCGGGCACTTCAGTGCGAGTCGGCGAGGTGAGCGGGCGCGGCATCCTGGCAGCGTCGACACTTGTAGACGCGATGATGATAGTAGCGATGCTGGTGACGATGCTGACAGCGATGGCGGGGCAGCCTATGACGGCGCCGGAGCTGATCACGCCGACGACGATGACGGCGTCTTCGCGTCGGTGATGGCGGACGGGTTTTGGCATGCGCGCGCGGAACCCGCTTAGTAGCATTTTATGAACATGTTGCAACACGTATGGTTTCGTTAAGACTTCGCAAGATCGCGCGCGCATTTCTTGTTTGAAATCCGTGTTGCGAAAGCATTTGTTGTTTTACATGTTCTTTGGGCATTCGTTCGATTTTTGAAATCTTTCCGACGCCGACTATTTTTGGTAGATTTTGGCATGCGCGCGCGACGACGCGCGCGTGTGCATGTCGTTTCATGTTTTGCAGAAGGAGTCATGTTTTTTGATAAACGAGTGTGCGTGCATCGTACTTTTTGCAGAGGATGGCTGGGGGTACCGATGCCGGCCTGGCTGGGTTAGTATGAATTCGCAGGTAGGATGGACTTTGGGTCAGAAGCATACGTGTTTTGAATTGGTCCCGAGGAGTCGATAAGTCCAGGGGATGGAGGGTGGTGGAACCCATGTTTTCCTAAGAAAAGAGAGTTTGTGCGGTGCAATTAATTCTGTTCGTCGTGAATTGTAAGTTCCAGTGCTCGCGCCATCATCCCACCCACCCGCCCGCAACTTTGGGTTGACATAAGCCCATGCGGCGGTGGTGACGATGAGTGCTTGGTGTTGGCTTGTGCTTCTTTGCGGCCGCGCTAACCCGCGCGTGCTCGCGCGCGCAACGGCCGGCTAGTTTGGGGTGGCCGGCGCGGCCGCGCAGGCGGTGACCTCTGGGCACATCCCAGCGGCCATGTCGGTGCGAGTCGGCGACGTGGGCAGGGGCGGTATCATGGCCAAGCCGATCACGGCAGGAACGAAATTTATAGTAGCGATGTTGGTGACGATGTTGGTGACGATGTTGGCAACGACGGCAAGGCCACTGACGGCGCCGATTTGATCAAGCCGTCAACGATGACGGCGTCCTCGCGTCGGTGATGAAGGTTTTAGAAGGAGTTCGACATGCGCGGGCCGCGCGCGCAAGGGCGGTCGAATGATTTCGACCTGCGGCGCGAGAGGTGTTTTGCAGAGTTTCGTGAACATTTTGACCAAATTATGTTTCCCCAGAGAATTCGCATGAGCGCCAACGCGTTTTTTTCCGTCTCCATCCTGGTTCCATATGTTTTCGGGGATTTCTTGGAAAAGAACATATGATACCATTCGTTTTATGGGGGGGGATGTCGGCGTGCGCGCGCGATGGCGCGCGCGTGTGCATTTTGTTCCGTTTTTGGTTGGGGGTTTTTGCGACAAAACGCGCGCAGGGGCGTTCAAACGATGTCGACATGCGCGCGCGAGGGGCCCGTTTGGCAGCATTTTATGTCAGTTTTTTGTTCGGGGGGAACCGATTCCAGCCTGTCTGGAATGGTATGAGTTTGCGTATGGGACGGACGATGGGGCAGAATCATATGTAGCTTGCAATACTAAGTGGGGAACCGTTAAGTCCTGTCGGGGGAAGCGGCGACGAGGCGGAAACGAGGCGGAGCCGGGGCGGCGACGGCGGGCACGGAACCGCCACACCAGCGCGCAGGCCCAAACGACCGGCAGCTACGAAGCGGCGGCGGGGCGGCGACGGCGGGCACGGAGCTGCCAGACCAGCGCGCAGGCCCAGGCGACGGGCGGCGACGAGGTGGCGATGCGCCGGCGACGGGGCGCCGGCGACGGGGCGGCGACGGGGCGGCGACGGCGGGCACAGAACCGCCACACCATCGCACAGGCCCAAACGACCGGCGGTTACGAGGCGGCGACGGGTTGGCGACGGCGGGCACGGAACTGCCAGACCGGCGCGCAGGCGCAGCGGTCGGCGACGAGGCGTCGACGGGG